TTGGCACTGCTTAAAAGGCTTCAAGGTAGTCTACAACTTGACAACTAGCAACCATGGAATGGAACCCTTGATTTTAAACCAAGATTCCTACTGATATCAGAATTTGTTGATGCCGACCTCCATCATTCAAATAATCTTCAGAAACTCAACAAATTTAGCTAAATATACCATTAAAACTTCAACAGGAGGCCTCGATTTAAAAATGAAATGAAGGAAAAAACATGAAACATACTATATTCTTTTAAAATAAGAGAACCAAAATATGCAGATAAATGAGTTCCGTCAACAAATCAAAATAAACTCTACAAACTGCCGCAACACCAATCGAGCTTGAAGCAGGGATGCATTTGACCACAATAATGAATAGAAGAATAAAATAAAAATTCCTAGTTTAATCTTTAATTTCTCCGGTGAAATTGCAGAAATGCACACAGGATGAATTGATCGGTTGTTGTCACCAAAATTTTTGAATCGATAAAGTAAAAAAAAGAAAAAGAATGCAAGATGGAAAGTAGCTGCAGCTTACCTAAATCTCAAGGAAGCAAAAGCTTTGTCTAGGAGGGAGAGATTGCAATTTGATTTGAAGTCCTCTCTCCTCTACTTATTTGAATTCACTGTCAACTCAAATCAGTCGAAGTGGTGGTGATACCAATGTTCCTTGGAGGGAGATTAAATTAAGGCCTCTGCTTTTTTCATATATTAGTAGAACGGCCCATGTGATGCACGGGGTATTTGATATTGATGGTGATGTATGACTATACTTTTATATCTCAGGCATAGATGAAAGTTTACAAACTGTTCAAGTCCTATGACAATTATATAATACATAAAAAAGACTATCCTCACAAAATGCCAAGATCTAAATTTTATAATATGCATATAATTTTGGTTGCAAATGCATTAGATTGAAACATTAGTGCATCAAATCAATGATAAAATTACATTCAACAACATTATATACAGATAAAGTTCATCCCAATGAAACACAAAATTTATGGAGAACAGAAGATGCCACTCTTAACCGATCTCCTGTTTTGTAATAACCTAAAACCTATGAAAATAATTACTATATATTAATGGTTAGAAGTAAACAAATCTATTATGCTAATTTACACAAGTAACCAATAAATAGCAGAAGTCGTTATCTAAGATGACTATTAAATGACTTACATTTAAGCCTAAAACATTTCCTTCTTACTTTTTAATTTAGAGGAGATAAAGAAATTAGTTGAAAGAAAAATTTATCAACCAACCACTAAAGTAACATGTATGCAAATACCTTCTAAGCATGTTGAGCACCTCTGCACATTTGTCCAAGAATAACACAATCGAACAATTCAAAATGTGTCACAGTGTTACATACGACTTAGGACATGAGTTGTAGGCCCTACTTAACAACTACACACATGATAACATACAATCCTAGTAGCCAAATGCCCTTACAAGACATGGGCCTAATTGACAAACATGTCGAAGGCTCATGAAATGAAATTTTTATATTTTCATTTTTCTGTAATTTATGGTTTTCTTTGTTTTTTGTGTTTTTTGTTATTTTTCATCAAATTTTATGATTTTCTACATGTTTTGTAATTTTTTTGCGTATTTCTTTGTTTTTTTTTGTAATTTATATTATTTTTTTTTTTATTTTCTGTGTTTTTTATAATTATTTTGTAATTTTTATTTTTTCTTTAATTTTTGTTATTTCCTACATTTTACATCTTTATTTATATATTATGTATTTTTTGTAGTTATATTTTTCTAGAATTTATGTATTATGTGAAAAATTAATGGATTGGGTTATGGTAGGTTTGGGTTGAACCCAAAATGGGTCATTAGTGGGTTGATGGGTCAAGTGGGTTGGGTTAAAGCTCAACCCAAACCTAAGTACCTTACCCCCCAATTTCCTTTTAGAAACGACAATGTTTTTTTTTTTTTTGCCAAGAATTATCATGAACCCTCATATAGATTTGGTATGTCAGAATAACAAAAAAAACTAAGGGGGTAGAATTAGTATGAAAAATCAGGGTCTTTCGACCACACTAACTAAATCATTCTCATTTTTTATATATGGTAGTAGATATAAATTTTTATTTTATTCTACAATTTTTGTTCAATTTTCTATAATTTATGATTTTTCTTTCTTTTTTTTGTAATTTATTTTTTTCTTCAATTTTTATGATTTTCTATATTTTTTGTAATTTTCTCTCTGTATGAAAATGAAATACATAATGTGAGGTTTGGTAAATTACAAAAAGATGTAGAAAAATTAGACACATTTATGTAATCAAATTATTTTTGTTGATAATGAAAATGAAATACATAATATGAGGTTTGGTAAATTACAAAAAAAATGTAGAAAAATTAGACACATTTATGTAATCAAATAGAAAAATATGAATAAGGTTGTGAAATTCTCTTTTGACTAAAATACTCATTTTTTTTGAATTTAGTCAATTTTTTAATTGTGAGGTTCAAATCCATGTTTATGAGATGCAATTGGATATGCTGTTAATAGTATTTGATCAGATTTGAATATTCCCTGATTCGAATCCGATCCAATCCATTTGCATCCCTACCAAGTAGGTAGGCTTATCAATGATACCTGAAACTTCACAACTCAATTCAATTATCACATATTTGGATGAGGTGTTTATGTAATTAGATTTGAATTTTGCAATTTACATCCAATTAATAATAAAAAATATAAAATAAAGAAACAAAATATACATAAAAGTTTATAGGAAATTTTGGCTATATTATTACTATCATTTTTGTCATCTAGAATTGCCACATGCACGTGCATGCTTACTAGTAATTTTAACATTATAAAATACATGTTTCTTTAAAACTTACTCAAAAATGAAATTCTTCTATTTTAGGTGGCAAGTAAACAGTTTCAACCATCGAGGTCAAATGGGTAAACCCATGATGTTATAATTAAATAATAAAAATGAAAAAGATAAAAATACAAAAATTATAAAAAATACACATATTTTGTAAAACAATATTTGGTCACATCTCTAATATCACATATTCTTTATATTAAACAAAACTAAGTGTGATAAATAAAATTATTTTTATATAAAAAAATTTGAAAACATATTATTACTATGATGATGATCATCATCATTGAAATTGTTACATACAAATCATGTACATATTTGCTAGTCAATGCGATGATGTTAATGGCCCAGTTTATACGGGTTTGCCTCAACCCAAACCTGATTAACGCTGACCTAATGCAAACCCGATGGGGTTGGGTCAATGTGGGTTTGTTCACTAAACCCGGTTCACTGATCCCTAGATATTAGCATCACGCATGAATTATAAAGAATTCTTTTTTGTTTTAATTTTGCACCCATCTATACTTGGAAACACAAATGAAGAAACATGCATGTATCAAACTTACTATTCGGTTCAGGGATGAGTTACGTAATTGAAGGGTTTTTTCATTTTTTTTGGAGTTATGTTTCAATTATGTTGGTTAGAAGGAGATCACCATTTTTCTTGGTACAAATTAGGTTCTTAGTTTAATTACAAAGATCTTAATTTTTCATATTGATATATATTAATTATCATTAACTAAAATATTTAATACATAGGTACAATATTGTAAGCACGCTCAATTAGCAATTAATAAATATTCTGAGAATTGTATGAAAAGTTTTTTTCTAGGCTGGGGAATTTTAAGGTACAGGTGTCAAAAAATTTTCTAACTACCTACTCATCATGTATAACTACTCTATGATGATCGGGACCCTAAAATTTTAGGCCTTAGTTCAGCCATGTAGTCATTCAAATCAAAAGAATCCTAACTGATTTCCAATGTGTGACTATAGTGATGTCAGGGTAGGGTTCTGGTGTGTAAGATTTGAACTAATTTGCAATCCAGATTTCCTACAAGCTACCACAGGACACTATAATCCACATAAATGCTAACATGCAAATACATTGGGGTTGGTGCCCCACATGTACGTCTCAGTGTGTATTAGAACATCTTCTGGAGATGTTTCCAATAATACATGGTTGTAATGTGTTGTGAGGCGCTCCTAGGGCATGCTCAGTGGGGTGCCAATACGAATACGAATTCATAAGTGAGATGTTCTCAATGTGATGTAGGTTTCATAGGATTCTGATGGCCTGCCTATATAGGAGTTCCAAACTGATCAATTTCTATATCCTCTATGTGTATATACGATCACAACAGAAATTCTTATACTACAAACTCATGAAAGTGGAAGAAGGAGCCAACTAGGAAAGGGGCTGGCTATGAAAACAGCTGCCACCAACATGACCACAAAGGGTAGGTGATTTCCATTGAAATGCAGGTGGAGACCTACCTACGAAGACGAGGCTAATGAGATACTGACCGTGGAACACCACACAACCCATGAAACCTTGCCATCTGTCCAGAAATTAAAAGAACCCAACCGTCCACATAAGCCTATAATTAATAATATATATATATATATATATATATATATCCCATTCAATTTCATCAATAACAGAGCCCATTAGAATCGACTGAACAGTACGAGTTTATTGTTTGGTCAAGCGGGCTACATCTCCGGCATGTGCCATTCAGATTTTTCATTTTCTTTTGATTTGTCTGAAGAAGCAACATATCCTAGAAATATTTAATATAAAGAAATAATTTGTTTTGTCTTCATTGATTGATGCTTAGGTATATCGACCTCAAATAACTCACCAACGGAGTTAGATGGATCCGACAGTAACCGGGGAGTCTGAGCTCTGTGGGACTGCACCGAATTCATTCCTCACATGCACTCGCTCTCCAGAGTTGTTGGTAATTTGGCCACGAGTGTTCGGTCAGCACGTGATATACTAAGTTCCCAACTACCACTTTGTTGTGTTTATAAGTCATTCAATTTCCTCCCCTTCAACCCATCAGTTCATAACACCTCAAGCCACCAGCATCTTCAGCAAGGGCCGGCCTCTAATTAATCCTTCAATTCTCTCTCAGCTAGCTCAAGGCGAAAATGGTGACCGTGGAAGACATCCGCAAGGCACAGAGGGCTGAAGGCCCGGCCACGGTGATGGCCATTGGAACAGCCAATCCGCCCAACTGTGTCGACCAGAGCACATACCCCGACTACTACTTCCGGATCACCAACAGCGAGCACAAGACAGAGCTCAAAGAGAAGTTCAAGCGCATGTGTAAGTATCAGTGTATCACTGATCACTGTCGAGTCGATTGGCAACCGGCAGTCGGTCGGAAGACATTGTCCCTGGGTCATGGCATCTGTCTATTTTGAGTGAATTGATCAAAACGAACACAGATATTGAGCTTTAGCTTATTTAGAGGGATTTGAATTTTGAAGTATGATCATATCATACATATAGAGAGTTTCTTTAGCTAAAGTGTTTGAATATTATTCATTGTTAGATTTTTTTTTTTTTCATCCAGTTTTGGGTGAATTTATTGATCCATGGCCAAGACAAATAGACCTGGCCAGAAGTAGAAAGACTTTAGGAATTGAGTAGACTCATCATCCGGATGACTCAACGATCCGGCTGAGTTAGACACATTAACCCAACTTAATTTGTTTCTCTCAAGACTCTTAACAACTTTGATGTGCATTTCAGGCGAGAAATCAATGATCAAGAAGCGCTACATGCACTTGACCGAGGAGATCTTGAAGGAGAACCCAAACATCTGTGAGTACATGGCTTCCTCGCTGGATGCTAGACAGGACATGGTGGTGGTTGAGGTGCCAAAACTGGGCAAGGAGGCTGCCACGAAGGCCATTAAGGAATGGGGACAGCCCAAGTCCAAGATCACCCACCTTGTCTTCTGCACCACCAGTGGCGTCGACATGCCCGGGGCTGACTACCAGCTCACCAAGCTCCTCGGCCTTCGCCCCTCCGTCAAGAGACTCATGATGTACCAACAAGGATGCTTCGCCGGAGGCACAGTCCTTCGCCTGGCCAAGGACCTTGCAGAGAACAACAGAGGCGCCCGTGTCCTTGTCGTCTGCTCAGAGCTCACTGCTGTTACCTTCCGTGGTCCAAGTGATACCCACCTCGACAGTCTTGTAGGCCAGGCACTCTTCGGGGATGGAGCAGCCGCAGTTATTGTGGGTGCAGACCCGGTGCCCGGTGTAGAAAAGCCTTTGTTTGAGTTGGTGTCGGCAGCCCAGACAATTCTCCCAGACAGCCATGGCGCCATTGACGGGCACCTGAGAGAGGTTGGACTTACCTTCCACCTGCTCAAGGATGTGCCCGGGCTCATCTCAAAGAACATCGAGAAGAGCCTGGTGGAGGCATTCCAGCCTCTGGGCATCTCCGACTGGAACTCAATTTTCTGGATCGCCCACCCTGGTGGTCCAGCCATCCTAGACCAAGTGGAAGAAAAGCTGGCCCTTAAGCCCGAGAAGCTAAGCGCCACACGACACATCCTGAGCGAGTATGGAAACATGTCAAGTGCTTGTGTGCTGTTCATATTGGATGAGATGCGGAAGAAGTCGATTGAGGATGGCCTCAAGACCACTGGAGAAGGGCTCGAGTGGGGTGTGCTGTTTGGGTTTGGACCAGGGCTCACCGTTGAGACTGTGGTGCTTCACAGTATCGCTGCCTAGAGAGAGATGCATGGAGGCTCCAAAATCTCTCTTAACCAAATGAATGGTTAAATTTGCATTTTCTTCTTGTTTTCCTCCCTCTCAAGTGAATTGAGATGTGGGTTGGTTGTGTTTGATCTGGTCTTGTAATTGTAGTATGCCAATGTGTCCTACCGACAAAGACATCGATCAGAGAATGTATTACTTTATATTTAATAATACATATGGTCACCACGTTCTTTGGCTATACACAAGTGACCCACCCTGACCCAGTGGATTACTTTGCGAGTAGTGTTTTTTTTTTTTTTGGTTTCTAAGAGCAATAATTGCTCTTGCACAGAAATATGTGTTACTATTGATGCCAAACACCCTTTAGAGAGGATAGTGGAGTAGCTGGAGTTAGGAGTTGTACATGTAAGTTTGAGATGTTTGGAGTATGCAGAAGTATATAATTGGCAAAGGTTTAAATCCACATACCTCATTTGATCTTCTGACAAAACTGTATTGAACAGTTTGGGAAGACTGCAAATACAAACATGTACGGTGCAAAACCATTTATACAGTATTTCTAAACCTGCTATTTGCACATTAAATGTTTGAACAAATGAGTCCAAATCTGTTAGAAACAGGATGTGACAGTTCCTAGGACACCAGTCAGAAACAAACATGTTTTAGTGAGGTATTGGTTTATCCCAACCATTTGTTAGGGCTCTGAGCAAACCATCTCATACGGAGTTCGGCTTCAGTCGGGCAAAGTCTATTCGAGCAGCCTTTAACTGCCTTGTATTGAGAATATCATCGTATTTGTATGTTTTATTTCATGAAGAGATATTTTCGATGCAAGGTTGCAAAAAACTGTTAGAACGGTGTGGGCACAGATTTGCCCTGATACAAGCGGATCTCTCTCATACTCATAATTTTATATATTGGGAGAGTGGCTTGCAACCCTCAGGTCAGTCACGAGCTCTGAATGTTCAAAAGTCAGTCGAGTCGATGTGTGGGCTATCCTGACATTATGCTTTTAGCTGATTGATGTGCATGCGCGATATGTGCCATGTAGTGTACGCGATGTGTGTGTGTAGTGTGGCGTGCTGTGTGATAGGTGTTGAACAACCATCTTGTAGAACAAAGAACTTTTTTATTGATACTAGGTTATTGATAGTACATTCGGAGGTTCCCGGTATTCCAACTCCTCTATATAGGCCTACTGTTAAGGTCTTCTAGTCTGTGGGTATCGAGTCTGAGGACTCTGGTGACTCTATATGATACTTCCCAGTTGGGTCCGAGCTTTCCTTCTCCTGGTGTGGGCATATGACTTTGAGGAGAACAAGATCGCCGGTTTTGAATTCCCTTCTTTGGACCTTAGAGTCGTAATATTTGGCCATTCTTTGCTACTGTGTTGCAATCCCAATGTATGCTTGGTTTTGTGCTTCTTCCACTAGGTATAATTCTGCATGGAGGTCTTCGTTGTTCTGCTCCTCGTCGTAGAACTCGATCCGAAGAGTCGGCGAGCCTATTTCTTCGGGTATCATGGCTTCGACCCCATAGGCTAGGTTGAAGGGCATCTCCCCGGTAGCTGTCCGCGGAGTAGTCCTATAGGCCCAGAGGATACTAGGCAACTCCACAACTACCTTCCCTTGGCCTGGTCAAGTCTGGTTTTCAGGCCATGTAATAGGGTTTGGTTGGTCACTTCGGTCTGCCCAATACTCTAAGGTCGGTGCACGGATGTAGTCTGGTGATCGATCCCTAGGTCGGCGCAAAGGGCTTCGAACTTGTAGTCAGTGAACTGCGCTCCATTATCCGTGATAAGAACCCAAGCAATGTCAAACTGACAAACAATACCTTGCCAGAAGAAGTTTCAGGCATTATGTGCAGTAATGCGTGTTATGGCTTCAGCTTCCACCCATTTGGTGAAGTAGTCCACTGCCACTAGGAGGAATTTTTTTTGTGCGACTACGGTGGGAAAGGGGCCGAGGATGTCCATTCCCCACTGCGTAAAGGGCCACAAGCTAGTGTTCGACTTCAAGGGGATTACTGACTGATGATGGAGATTGGAATGCCTCCAACAACTATTGCATTTTCTGACAAGCCGGGCTACATCCTGCTTCATGGTCGACCAAAAGTATCCTTGCTAGAGTGCCTTGTGAGACAAGGTTCGGGTGCCAAGGTGATCTCCATAGATACCCTCATGTATCTCCTTGAGAACATATTTGGCCTCAGAGGGTGGAAGACAACTTAGGTAGGGGAGAGTGTGTGAGCAGTGGTAGAGTTATCCCTAGATGAGGCAATACCGAGCTGATCTGTGCATGAGTCTCTTGGCCTTCGTTCGGTCTTCTAGAAGTGTGCCATCCCAGAGGTATTGTATGATGGGGTCCATCGAAGATGGGCCATGCTGAATAGGGAGATGAGGAGGGATGTCGGCGCAATATTCGGCTGAGCCAAGGTGTCCATCCGCACTACTGAGTCAAGGTTGGTTTGTGGAAAACTGGCTAACTTTGATAGTGCGTTAGCTCAGATGTTTTCAACTCAGGGAATTTGTTGAACATTGAATTGCTCAAGCCATTGTATGAGCTCTTGCACCTTCTGTAAGTAGCTCACCATGGTGGGAGTCCGCATCTCAAACTGGCCGTGGATCTGGTTAACTACCAGCTGGGAGTCACTGAAAGCTTCGACTCGTTGGGCTCTGAGGTCTAGGGCAAGTCTAAGTTTGGTGATTAGGGCTTCATACTCAGCTTCATTGTTGGAGATTTTGAACTCCAACCTAAGGGCGTGCTCTAGACCATGTTGTCTAAGCCGAGGAGGATGAGGCCAACCCTGTTGCCTTATCTGTTGGATGAACCGTCTACATAGAGAGTTCATATCTGCGGTGTTAGGGCCAGGTCCTGTGTGGTGAAGGTACATTCTGCGAGAAGATCGACCAAGGATTGGGCTTTGATGGTAGGCCAAATGCTTCTGGCCTTTGGAGTACTTGCTTGAGGGGCTGGTCAATAAGCACCCGAACGTTCTGAGCTTGGAAGTATGGTTTGAGCTTCATTGCCGAGGTGACTAACGCCAAGGCCACCTTTTCTAGGTTGGTGTACCGGGTTTCTATGCCATTGAGAACTTTGCTGGTGTAGTAGATCGGTCTCTGTACCCGGTCTTCCTCTTTGACCAGTACGGAGCTGACGACCTTATCCTTGGCCAAGAGGTAGAGCAACAACTTGTCCCCTGGGCTCAGTTTTGTAAGGAGAGGCGGCGAGCTTAGGTATCTCTTTAGATCCTAAAAGAACCATTCACACTCGTCGGTCCATTGGAAGTTCTTTATGTGTTTGAGGGCCTTGAAGAAGGGCAGACACTGGTCCACTGATTTGGACATGAATCTGCTAAGGGCGGCTATTCGTCTGGTGAGGCGCTGCACTTCTTTGTGCGTTCGAGGTGATTGCATGTCGAGGATGGCCTGGATTTTTTCTAGATTGGCTTCAATTCCTCTCTTCGTAACAATAAATCCCAGGAATTTGCTGGAGCCGACCCCGAAGGCGCAGTTGGTCGGGTTCAACTTCATTCTTTACTTCCTGAGGGTCCCGAAAACTTCTTTAAGGTCGTTCAAGTGGTGCTCGACCTTCTTGCTTTTTACGAGCATGTCATCAACATACGCTTCAACATTTCGGCTGAGCTGATTCAATGAAGACTTCATTCACCTGCTACTGATAAGTGGCACCAGCGTTCTTGAGGCTGAAAGGCATCACCTTGAAGCAGTACAATCTATGGTCAGTGATGAAGGTGGTTTTCTCCTGGTCATCTAGGTGCATCTAAATCTGATTGTAGCCTGAGAACGCATCCATGAAGCTTAGGAGTTTATGCCCTGTCGTCGCATCGACAAGCTAGTCGTTGAAGTCAATGCAAATCCTCTACTTCTTGTTGGCCTTCTTCACCATTACCGCATTGGCCAACCAGTCCAGGTACTTTACTTCTCGGGTGAAGTCGACATCAAGCAACTTTTGGACTTCGTCAATGATCACATGCCACTGTTCTATAGTGAAGCTTATCTTCTTCTGCCTGATGGGTTGGTAGTGTGGGTCGGCGTTTAAGTGGTGGGTGATGACCTTGGGGTCAATCCCCGACATATCCGCCACCGACCAAGCGAACACATCGGCGTGGTCCCTTAGCAGCTGTACTAACTCGTCCCGAAGACGGTCTCCCAAGAGAGAGCCGACCTGGACCATATTTTCAGGGTCTTCACTGGAGAGCGGCACTTGGACAAGGTCTTCGATAGGTTGGTCATGCTGTGTATTCACGTCATCCCGTAGATCTATGCTTGTTGGTCTGCGTCAGGGCGTAGTCCTCGGCAGGAGGTTAAGTAGCACTATCGTGCAGCCCTTTGGTCTCCATGTGCTACTCCCACACCGTACTAGGTCGGGAATTTCGTTGTGAGGTGTAACAAGGAAACCGAGGCCCGTAGAGAGCTCAATGTTGGCCAGCCAAGGATAGCGTTGTACAAGGACGAGCAACGGACAACGATGAAGTTGACCATGGCCGTTGTGGTGATGTTGTTGTCTTCGATTAGAAGGGGGAGAGTGATCCTCCCGTTGGCATGAGTGATTCCCCGGAGAAGCCCATTAGGGGTGTTGACAGGGATGAGGCGGTTTCTGTTGAATGCGTCTTCGAAGAGGACATTCGTCGAGCTACCTGTGTCGACTAGGATGCACCGCACTTCGAAATTGGCCACCTCGGCAGTGATCACCAGGGCGTCATCATGTGAGTTCTAGACCACCTGAAGGTCGTCTTTTATGAAAGCGATCGGGTCTTCGTGTCTTTTCTTCAAACCTTTTTCGCCGAACTCGAGTAGTTGCGGATACTTTTTGTGGCCCGAGCTGCTTTCTCCTCCGGCGGTGATCCCTCCTGATATTATGGCAATGACACCGACTGAGGGGCCCGCGGTGACGGTCTATTTCCTGGATGTGGTTCTTCTTCTGTTGGCTTCTCGTCTTTGTTGATGAACCCACCGAGGTACCCTCGCCTAATCAAGTCCTCGATGTGGTTGCACAGGTCATAGTAGTTGTCCATGTCGTGGTCGTGGTCTCTATGAAACTCACAATATTTGTCATGGTTCCTTTTGTTGCCTTGGGTCTTCATCTTCTCGGACTGCCGGACGTAGCTACGGTCGCGGATCTGCATCAAAACTTTAGACCGTGGTGTATTCAGCGGCATGAATTTCCTATAGGTTGGTGGAGGAGTCCTTGGTCTGCGGTCGGTCTGGTGGTCCAGT